TTTTTTTTTTTTTTTTATATAAATATTATATATAAATATATATATATATATATATATATATATATATATATATTTTTTTTTTTTTTTTTTTTTTTTTTTTTTTAATTGTAACAGGCACCCCTCTTGAGCCGTGTCACTGTGAGCCAAGATACAAGATAAGAGAGAAGATAAGAATAAAGTCACACAGTTTAAATTTAGGTATAACTACTTGCCCCAATTAATCACTGAAATCACTATCATAGACGTAAACATAATTCTTGTCCTCATCTTACAAGAATTTTAAAATGTGTGTTAATAATTAAGTGTCATTGTGTAATATTTTTAAATATTGCATTTTTACCAGTTGATATCAGTTTGTACTCGTATAAAGTCTGCAACAAGGTGGGCAAGTTGAACATTAACTTTAACTTGTATATTTGTCTAAATCTTAATGAATTATTGCGCTTGTGCTTTAATGAAAAAAAAATGGAAATTTAACTACGTTGGATAAAGGCTGTCTTTGTAAAAGCACGACCATACGATAAGAAAAGTATGACACGCAGAAAAGATAACGGCGTCCGCGATTATGCAATGAATCTAGATAAAATGTAACTTAATGTGCAATACATCCAAATAAAAAGGACAAATAAATGAAAAATCAGAACTGAAGATAATTATCAAACGGTTTCGAGCTCTCCACCAAATGATACACAAGTTGTGGATTAAATATCATTTTTGTTTAAACCATCGTGCACGGTGTCAGCATAAAGGTTTCCTCCCTATTTGACAAAATTGGACAAATATCAAATTTTCTCTGTAACCATAGCAACTAACATTTTTAAGGGGACAGAAATGTTATTTGTATAGTTTAGGACGAAGGGGTATTTCTGGCAAATAAACAAAAACATAATCCATCTTCAAACCTTGTTGACCCATATTGATTCTTTCAGTTATATGGTTTTAACTTATTTTTGTTAGACTTCATTACTTGATTGTTTCGCTAATATCACAGTCAACAATTAAATAGGAAACTCTTTTTTGTAGGGACAATGCTACTTATAATATTGGTGTCCTCACGCGCACTGTGTGTGTCAGTAATCACGTATCTCCGTGCTATCTGTAAATTGTATATTTACCAGTGATATAGGTATCAGTTAATGCTCACGGGAAGTCTCCAAGATGGCGGACAGGTTAAGCATTAACTTTGACTTCTATGGCGGGCTTCTATTAATATTCAATAAAAGCTCGACTCTCAGACTTGAGCTATAATTAAAGAACGAAAATGTGATAAATTCGGATACACGACTGTGATTGTAAAGCAATGAATGCAGTCATTTTTGCATTGATGGTAAAAAAACATTTAAAAAATCGCACACACACACACACACACACACACACAAATGCACGAACGCACTCAGTCACTTTATTGCCTTGCATAAAATGTGTTCAAAAGGGCATATAATATCAAAATTGAAGTTGATAATGAAACTCTCTCCACCAAATAATACACAAGTTGGTAGTTAAATATTATTTTGTTTATACTCTTGTCAACCGTTCACTTATCTTTAAATCTTGTCGCCCCATATTGATTCTTTCAGATATATGGTGTTAAATAATTTGTTAGGCTTCATTGCTGGATTCCTTTGCTAATATCACAGTCAACAAGAAATAGGATACTCCTGTTTGTAGGGACAATGCTACTAATAATATTGTGTGTGTCAGTAATCACGTATCTCTGTGCTATCTGTCAATTGGCTATTTACCAGTGATATCAGTTTGTACTCACTTGAAGTCCGCAAGATGGCGGACAGGCTGAACATTAACTTTATAGCGGGCTTGTATTATATTCAATAACAGCACTCTAGGACCTGAGCCATAATTAAAAAATGAAATTTGAAAAATATAGAAATAGAAAAACCACTCACACCCACACATGCACATTGACACAAACATTCACGAACACACACACACACACACACACACACACACACACACACACACACACGAAAGCACGCAATCACAAGATATGCATTCCCTTGCATAAAATGTATTCAAAAGGGTATGCAATATTAGAATTGAAGTTGATTATCAGCTTTCTCTCCCTCAGTTGGGACGTCTTGAAGAGGAGGACTTAACATAACAGTGGCATCCTCTAATATGCTGCATACAAAATGTACATTTATTATGAAGTTTGTTCCTTACCATTAGATTCCTATGTATGACAATGGTTAGGATGGTTCAGAGCCTGCGTTTTATTGCTTTCAAACAATCTCTTTCAAATTCCCTTTTTTATGTTCTGCTCGATCAGGGTTTTTTTTTTTTTTTTTTCCAATGGTGTTGATTCAGAATCTAACTGCTTTTAATGTGACATTTCTCTGGAAGGATGTTCACCTTAAAATGACACAATTAACTGTCACGAGACGCTCTTACCTAATAACGTATATTATTTTGTTTGATTGTGACTGTTGGCACCCCTCTTGAGCCGTGCTGACGCCTTACAATCAACTGTATCGATGGGAGCCAAGATAAGAATAAAGTCACACAGTCCATATAATTTATTACTACTTGTCCTAATTACTCACTGAAATCACTGTCCTAGATAAAAACATAATTCTGAGTATTCTTCATTACCATTCTTGTCCCTACCTTATAAAAAATTTAAAATGTGTGTCAATAATTAAGTGTCATCGTGTAATCTTTAACTGCATTTTTACCAGTAATATCAGTTTGTACTCGTATAAAGTCCGCGACAAGGTGGACAGGTTAAACATTTACTTTAACTTGTATGATGGGCTGATATTCGGTTCAATACCCTTATCTAAATCTTAATGAAGCGGGGCCAATTATTACGCTTGTGCTTTAATGAAAAAAAATGGAAATTTAACTGCGTTGGATAAACGGCTGTCTTTGTAAAACCACGACCATAAGATAAGAAAAGTATGACACGCAGAAAAGAGAACGGCGTCCGCGATTATGCAATGAATCTAGATAAAATATAACCAAATGTGCAATACATCCAAATAAAAAGGACAAGTAAATGAAAATTCAGAACTGAAGATAATTACCAAGCGGTTGCGAGCTCTCTACCAAATGATACACAAGTTGTGGATTAAATATCATTTTTGTTTAAACCATCGTGCACGGTGTCAGCATAAAGGTTTCCTCCCTATTTGACAAAATTGGACAAATATCAAATTTTCTCTGTAACCATAGCAACTAACATTTTTAAGGGGACAGAAATGTTATTTGTATAGTTTAGGACGAAGGGGTATTTCTGGCAAATAAACAAAAACATAATTCATCTACAAACCTTGTTGACCCATATTGATTCTTTCAGTTATATGGTTTTAACTTATTTGTTAGACTTCATTACTTGATTGTTTCGCTAATATCACAGTCAACAATTAAATAGGAAACTCTTTTTGTAGGGACAATGCTACTTATAATATTGGTGTCCTCACGCGCACTGTGAGTGTCAGTAGTCACGTATCGCCGTGCTATCTGTAAATTGTATATTTACCAGTGATATAGGTATCAGTTAATACTCACGGGAAATCTCCAAGATGGCGGACAGGTTAAGCATTAACTTTGACTTCTATGGCGGGCTTCTATTAATATTCAATAAAAGCTTGACTCTAAGACTTGAGCTATAATTAAAGAACGAAAATGTGATAAATTCGGATACACGACTGTGATTGTAAAGCAATGAATGCAGTCATTTTTGCATTGATAGTAAAAAAAACATTTAAAAAATCGCATTCACACACACACACACACACACACACACACACACACTCAAATGCACGAACGCACTCAGTCACTTTATTGCCTTGCATAAAATGTGTTCAAAAGGGCATATAATATCAAAATTGAAGTTGATTATGAAACTCTCTCCACCAAATAATACACAAGTTGATAGTTTAATATTATTTTGTTTATACTCTTGTCAACCGTTCACTTATGGAGAAGAAAGGAAGCCAAAACCTCTGTCAGTAGATTATTAAATTAACCCTATATATTTAACAAGGCGTCTAGATGTCATGTATTTTTGCGTTTGAAAATTGCGTTTTTGATTCAAAGGTAACAATTTCGTCGAAAGAATGTCCTTATTGATATTTTAGCTGGGGAATATACAAGGAGAAAATGGGACGTCTTTAAGAGGAGGACTTAACATTACAGTAACATTCTTTAACATGCTGCATGCACAATGTACATTAATTTGACTTTTAAGTTTGTTCCTTACCATAGACTCCCATGTATAGCAATAGTACGATAGGTAGAGTGCCTGCGTTATATTGCCTTCAAACATTCTCTTTCGGAATCCCTTTTTTAAGTTCGGTCTTGGGACTTTTTTCTTCAGTTGTGTTGATTGAGGATCCAGCTGGTTTGTGGGCGACTTTTCTAGAAGGAAGCTCACATGAGAATGACGCATTGATCCGTCACGAGACTACCTTAACGAGACTACCTTATCTTATGACGTACAATTGTGTATGATTGTGACAGGCATCCCTCTAGAGCAGTATTGACGCTTTATCTATAATTGTGTCAATGGGAGCAAAGGTAAGAATAAAGTCACACAGTTCATATAAGGTACGTATAGTGGTTTATTTATTTATCGGAGAAGGTGCGCATCCGTATGTAAATCCCACTCTGATAATGTTTGCATGTACAAACCACATTGTCGCGACATACACGTGTGATTTGTACATTAATGTTTGGGCAAAAAAATACAATTGGCGACAACAGTTCATTTAGTCGGATAATAATTGTCATGTATATGTATGCACGGGCAACTAATGTGACACAGACGATAGTTTACTTGGAATTTTAAACTTGTGTTTCTTTGCTCGTTTGTTTTCGTTTGTTAGTGGATTTTTTCCGTTTAATTGTTCACGAGTTACAGCCCAGTGTTTTTTTATTGATTGTCCTAATTTTGGGTAAGATAATTGGTATTGGCTAAGGAGGAAACCATAGTTGATCCGGATCTGGAATTGATACCATTTTATATTTTTCATTAAAATTGCGAGATATGGCCACTTTTACTTAATTACTCATAACCCAAAATAGGAATTTTATGAAAAGTTGTACCCAGTAAGATGATATACAGATAGAATGCGCTTTAAAACATATTATGTGTGCTTTTATTTGAAGTGTACACTCACAAGCAACTGCTCTAGCACTACATACACATGTTTAAAATCTTTTTTGTGTGGTGTGTAAAAGAATTACAAATTAAACACAAGGTATTACCCCATCCAAAAAGGCGTATATTTGTAAGCAAGAAAAGCTGACATCTGTAGTTGGCCATAGATTAAAACGAGTCGTGTATGGCGTGGAGGCAAAGATGGCGGACCTGGAAAAATAAATTGAAACAATGTAATAAATGGTTGCTCCACTGACGTACCTGATGGATAGGTGCAAATGTTTTAATTAATTTATTAAAATACGAGATTCGATCTTTGTGAGAACAAATGGCAATTTTAACATTCAATAATAAAGAATTTTATTTCCCCTTGGACTTGTGTTAAAAATACTTAAAACAAGTGAATGACAAGATTCAAGACAACGAAAAACCCTACCATATGTTCATGCAAAGCCCCTTAGCTGACTCTAACTGTAATGTTTTAAAGTACTGAATGCACAAGTCAGTGCAAATGATTTCTTACGTTGACACATGGCGGGGCACCAAGAGCAAAGGTCACGGCGGCAGCAACATCGTCTGGTTGAAGACACTAGCGTGAAATGATATTATAAAAGATGGATGATATTGAAGGGTGTATTCTCATATATATTAGATATTAAAATTGGTAATTAAAGGATTAGAAAAAAATGAAGAAAAATCAAGTGACAGAAACGTTAACCAAAATATTTACTATAAGACAATGACGAATTAACGGCACTTAAAGTGTCTTATATATGGCCCAAAGACCAGGGTGATTTATAGAAAGTAACACACAGAACACTATAGTTAAATGGATTAATTACGTAAAAGAATTGCATATTAAAAGACTGAAGCATATCCTCAGTATTTGCGCTTACATTTCAATTTGTCAGATTCACTTTAATCCATTAAAATCCAAAAAGTCACGAAAAACTTTGTTTGTATCCGTATTCCAATTATTTGGTACTGCAATTTCTGTTATTCGTGAAAGGCAAAGGGGATTAGATGATTGAAGAAGTTTGTCATAAAACCTGGGATTAAGCCACAACATTTTACTGAAGCTTACAGTTTCCGGACGGGAGAGGTTGTCGTCCATGTCTGCTCTTGCTTGCGGAGTGTCCACCATTGCAGGACTAATCACCTAACAGTAGAGCATAATATTTCGAAATTGGGTTACATTAACACATTGCTATATAAATTCCACTAAAATCATATTTTGTAGCTGCCCATCTACGGATTCTCGGGCGTTGCAAAAGATGGGAAATAGAAGTAGGGGCCTATGTACAAATGCGATTCCATTACTGTAAAATTGCAAATCATTTATTTACTTTATCTCACTTATTATTTTGTTAATTTTCTCCTCTAAGTTATCTCCTACTGTAAATAAGCAGTCACAGACTGGACTGTGATTTCTCCTTAATATACTGTACATTTACTCTCTCTCTCCCTCTCTCATACCGTCGTCCGTATTTTCGTTTTCTGTTGTCTCAGCTCGTGTCGCAGACCCTCAGTGAAAGCCTTCAGGGCACACTTTGTTGGGGTATACATGTGACATGAAAAGTCCGCGTGGACAGCGCTCTCACAAACACTAATTAAATAGAACATACTTGTCAGAAACGATAACATGATAATCTTCCCAAAGCCATTTCAACGGTATGAAAGGCAATATCACAATTTTATGGGAGTTTTTTAAAACCATTTGGGGAACGACTTTTTACCCATTCGCACTAGGCACCAGTGTGCCATATGCATTTTTTAAGCCCGGTGTCACATTTTGGTACGTTGTATATCGAATTTGTCAATAACTAATTATGGACCTGAATAGGCCATTTACTTGGGAAACGTGGTAAAGATACATGTGTATTTTGTTTGAAAGCAATGTATTACCTGCCAATGTTAATAATGTGCCCATCATTCGTGTTCCTCTCATGTATGGACTGGATAGTCAGCTGGGAAACAGCTATAGCAGCGAAAACATTCAACTGAAAAAAAACTTTTGTTTTATTCGAAAGGTCGTCCCTGGTTGAAGGTATATTAGAAAATAAAACGACAAGTTGTCATCATTTTTTACTGTAGAGTCCCTGACCATTGTTGAAGTCTGAGGCATTTTTGTCTCACTTTGAGTATCAGCTAAGAGGAAGGTTAACGTTGTTCATGCAGAGCATAAGATAAGCATTCATTTAGACATGTGGCAAAAATTCCATTACTGAGCATATACGCATAAGTTATTAGACCGGGCTCCCATACTAAGATCGATCTTACAGGATCGATCCATCTCCAAAGGGGAGTTCTCCCTAAATCACTTTCAGCTTAATCGGCTTAGATAGCTGGCACGCCTAACTACTGAAGCTACTAAACGAAAGTTAATTACCCCCGAACTTAACGCTCTGGTAATATACAGCTTGAGAGGAAAAACAAGGATTGGACCCAGGCAGTTATTTTTATGAGAAATTAACAAATCTTAACAAGAAACTTTGAATACTCAACAAAACTAAAATCCCACATTCTTAAATAAACACTAGCGATTCAAGGAACTGACGTAAGCCGAAAGAATATTTCCTCGGGATATAGATTCAGAATACTTCATGAAAAGCTCTGTGTTGCTGCGCAAAATATTTTTCAGCATTACAAACGCCATTCTGATCCGAGTTCTGGCGCTTAAAGATAAATGGCTAAAGGATTCTAAAGGGAATATAAAAAATAAATAAGAGTTGTCTTACATCATACATCGTCTTGGTATCAGATAAAGGCCCTGTCTTGCAATCCTGACAGAGATTAACACCTGCGTTGTTAACACAAACGTCGACACCACCCAACTGTTCCTTGATTTCTTGAAACATGGACTCTATCTCTTCCGTTTTGGTGAGGTCACACTTCATTGGAATCAAACGACCCTTTTCGTTTTCAAGAACTGCAGCTGTTTTCTGGAACACATATATTCAAACATCTCTTCAACAAAATATAGAAATGGATTATTCCATCATTCGTGGTCCATTGTCTAATCGTAGCACTGAACGAAACGGAGGGAAATGTTTAAGGGATTTCGACTCTCAATTGCCAATTAAACAGCCTATTCCGATATTTATGTCTATTCTACATGGACGTCATGATCGACCGAATGTACTTGGAGATGACCAATTATTTGATACCAATGGAATATATTGAAAATGAAAAAAGGCCATGAAGAAAAGACGAAAATTTGGCTGCAAAATTAGACGGAGGACGACAACATAGTGGTATGACTGGTCATTCATTGTCCTTGGTATTATGATTTTAGAATTACCTAGTGACACAATCTATGATTCTGTTTCTTTCCCTATAACTCTTTCCGTTCAACTTTTACTTGTCAATAGCTGTTATTATTATTATTATTATTATTATTATTATTATTATAAAACACACCTGCATTCCTTCCACGTGTCTGGCACATCCAACCACCACCATACCATTCTTCACCAGAGCACGAACAATGGCTGCTCCTATTCCTTTCGATGCCCCTGTTACCAAGGCAACGCGTCCTGTCCAGCGATCCATTTCTGAAACATACTTTGTACTGCGATCACCTTAACCCAAATACCCAACAGCCCGCAGGAACGAGAGGGTGACGCAGAGTATTGGGGAGGTCAAGACCTTTATGACACAGAGAAGAGAGAGAGAGAGAGACCTGACATACACCCACATCTAACACTCATATGCACACACTATAGAGTGAACTAATTGGTTCTACAGTCCTTTCTTGGTATCGTCAATAAACAGGAAGCGCAATTACTAAAATGAAATATCATATTGTAATGACCACGGACCACCAAAATACCTTCAAACTGTGTAGAAGGCCACTTGTGGTGCAATGGAGTCTTTGCAGCAGCGTATTCACCTTTAATCCTATAACATCTGGGTCAAAACCTGTGGCATTTCCCATTGGGTGAAAAGCATAACGGCTTGTACAGAACGGTGACATATATAAATAGAACAGATATTTTAAATATGGTACATGTCCCTGTTGTGGGTGTGCTTGCTGTGCCAGCTTTTTTTTTTTTTTTTTTCAAAGAAGACCTTAATTCAGTGCACTACTTATATTCAGCCATAATACCATTTCTTTGCAAATTTTAATCGACTGTGTTATGTTATAAGAATACAGACAGTTTGCTCCCAAACAACAGCTAGACCTCGACCCCGGATTATGGAACGATATTTGACGTTTTTCAGCTTTGCACAGTCTGTGTATAAAAATGAACGTAAACTAACCTCTAATACTTTGCATGTAGCTACGATAGAGCTTTATTTACTATCGTGTAAAGCTTAATCCATATGATTGAGGTTATTATTGGAGAAAAACGCTAAAATAATGGTTAACTTCGTGTTGTTCTCAAACCCCGGATTATGGAACAAAACCGGAAGTGCGCAGATAACGTCGCGTCAGTGTGTGTTAGATAAGATGCAAGGCAATCTGTAGTGCAAGGGGTCTATAAAAGACAATAAAACGACGAATGCGCTTTATATTGCGAATATCAATGAAAATAACAGCTGTTATTATTCATATTAAGTTGGTCTTTTATTTTTAAACACAAATATTGCTGAATAATGGAATAGCCCACTCATTCACTACTGCCTTGAATCGGATTATGGAACAAAACGAGAAGTTGCCGCTACGTCGGAGTATCAAAGCGATGTTTAGTAGTCAGATAATTTAAAATGCCAAATTGAAAATACTGTATCCATAATTATGAATTAAAAGAAAAATATTGATATTTCTCATTTTAAAACTCATCTATCATTCGTTTGGTCTGCCTTAAGTAAACAACGCCAGTAATCATTCAAAATAAAAGCTTTAATTCATGGTGACAAAAGTGGCAATTAACACTAACAGCTCACATATCATTAACAAAGAATTTATCGAAAGTGTGACAAATGCAATAAACAAAAAATTTGCGGAGAACTCGCGTAACAATGCTGTAACTTTACAAAGAGATGAATGTATTCATCTTTCTGAAGAGTGCTGTGACTTTTATGAAATGAATCTAACCTTTAACTCCATAAAATGAAATCACTTCAATCATTCTAATATTACACTGTCTTGCCCTTCAAGAAAACAAATGAAGGGGCA